ATATTATTTCTCTAAATCTTCAATCCAAATGATAACTGAATACTTAGTCTTAATTTTAAATAACATCTTCATACACATTTCTAAAGCCTATATTTATTACCATTAACTAAGGAAGAATATCTTCAAGTCCACTAGGATGGTTTATTTAACACCAGGTATCTTTGAAAATATCAATTTTTAAATTGTAGTGTGACTGAAACGCACACAAATATATTTGGCAGCATGCTGATTCATAGTCAGGTGAGATCAATGAGGATGCTTTGTAATTAAACTGGATCATCAATTTGAGTCATTGCTTAATTTCTTACTTGATAGATCTGCTCAGTTCATGGATTGTTGACTTGCAGATAGTATGCCATTTGATGCCACTGATAAAAATGATGATTTGGGCAATGAAGATGCATATGATGAATGAAAAAACAAGGAAAGAATAATTTTGCCTGTAGAAAAGAGGGAAGTACAGAGAAATCAGAGTGATATGTTTAAGACTGATGAGATGTTGGCTATAATTTGAGGTTTAAATTCTGCTCTAAAAGCCATTTGGACAGATACCTATCATGTGTTCTACTATTAGTAGTCACTATTGAATCAGGTGACAGAGAATGTGATTCTACTGCCATTATTCTCATTCCAGAGCACTCAAACTAAGATGTAAAATGCTTCGACTAGTCCTTTTGCTATCTTGTTTCTTTATAGTAGAATTGTAATTTGGGATATATTTTCTATCGTCAGGCCACTGTAAAAAAAGTGTAAGAAGCTTAGAGAAGATTCAAAGTATCCTATTCATTTCCTCTGTCTTGGGATGAGGATAAAAATCCTTAGTATCATACTCCCTGAAAACACCTTTGACAGTATTTAACTATGACATAGATGTGTATCATGGATACACATGATCACAGGCTCTAGAAGCATAGAATTATTGTTGTTGTTGTTTTTAATTCACTCTGTAACAGAAAAACTCTTTAAACTCATTACTCAGACTTAAAATTTTCAGTGTTAGCCACTGCCCATCTGCTGTTTATATCGTAAAAGACAGATATTTCTGAAATCCTAACCAATCAATATATTGCTACAGAAATGATGCCCTATAAACCTCAATGGCACTTGTTGACATTAATTCTCATGCCTATGGGCTGGGGTTGTGGCTCAGTGACAAAGCGCTTGCCTTGCACATGTGAGGCACTGGGTTTGAGCCTCAGAACCACATAAAAATAAACAAACAAAATAAAGATATTGTGTCTCTGTATAACTAAAAAAAAAAAAAAACTCATGCATACAGTATACACAAAACACCAAAGATGTCATATGAATTTTCTAATTCTGAAACTTCTTTTCATACAGTATACTGTTTTCACTAATAAACTGTGTTGAGTCATCCCTAAATATTTTGACAAAAGAGGGCTGCGGCTGGGCATGTGTGAGGCACTGGGTTCAATTCTCAACACCACATATAAATAAATAAAGGTCTATCAACAACTAAAAAAAAAATTAAAAATTTTTGACAAAAGTATTAAATCTGTAAATAGAGCTGCTTAGTAGTTTAGGCAGCATTATTGTGGATCAGAAATTCAGGCACTACAATGTAAAATATCTGGAAATTTTATATGAACTGACCTGCACATTCAAATTTGTATATCCCAAATCTTTATATGGTTTACACAGTTAATAAGTAATATAACTTGATTTTTAAAAACTGACTCCTATATACATTTGAGGATTTTAAATTTCAAAAACTACCTAAATCTCTAACATGCGCTGGGAAAATTCTTTACACAAAACTGCAGTGTGTTTTAGTCAGTTTTTTCACTTCCGTGACCAAAAGACCTGAAAAAAACAATTTAAGGAGAAAGATTTTATTTGAAGGCTCACAATTTTGGAGTTCTCAGTCCATTAACGCAGCCTCCATTTTGGGGGCTCAAGGTGAAGCAGGACATTACAGTGGAAGAATGTGACAGAGGAAAACAGTTGGAAACATGGCAACAGGAAACAGAGAGGTCTGCTCAACAAGGATAAAATATAAACCCCAAATACAAGCCTCCCAGTGACCCACCTCCTTCAACTATACCTTTCCTGCCTACAGTTACCATCCAGTTAATCCCTATTAGGGAATTAACACTTGATTAGGTTAAGACTCTCATAACCCAATCATTTTACCTCTAAATCTTCTTGCATTTCTCACACATGAGCTTTTGGGGGACACTTAATATCTAAACTATAACAGCATGGATATTTTAATATTCTGTAGTCTAAGTAGAAACTAAATACAGATACAATAAAATTAGTAACTTATTTGCATGATATTTATCATGTTTTTATTTATTCCAATATACTCATGCAAAAATGTGGTAGGAAAACATGTGCTTTTTCTGTAGATATATAAAGGATATAATTTTACACATAAGCACCAGAGACCAAAATAAGGATTCAAGTTCAAGATTCTCTGAATTCATTAGATTGTTGAGGTAAACACGTTGATGTAGCTCATTAAAAGGAAAGTAGAGTGGATCATTAAAATCCTTCCAAAATTTATCCATTTATAGACAAATCCATCTGTACTGACAGTCATTCAGCTACATGTTTTTCCATCAACATGTGTAAATGTAGCAAGATTTAAATTGTTTCTCTACAATGAAAACACAATTTTGTTCTAGTTTCCTGATTGTATATTATACTCTGAAAATTTCTGTTTGGTCTTTTGAGTGGTAATTGGCATTCATCTCTCATATGCTGTTTTATCATGTGCCTTTCTCCCTGCACATTGAATTTGGCTATGAAAAAATACAATATTCTTACAATTCAATATTCATACTTGTAGACAATAAACTTGGAGGCATATCAATTTGCTTTTAGTATGTATGTCTTGTATCTTGACCTAATCAATTAGTTTTTATTACCTGAAGATGTAGTCCAGAAGTTTTCCTGAATTTTTGTTGAAGAAAGTGAAAAAAAACATAGTTAATATAGACATGTAAAGAAAAATACAGTGACATAAAGAGGGTGGGTGCCATACAAAGCTAGGAAAAGAAATAGAATAGAATCTTCATCTTTAGTAGCTGTTAGGATTTGCCAACAAGGCCATTTTCTCCTTGCCAGATGGCATAGCTCAGCACTGTAAATCTTCCAGCTTTTGCAAGTAGATGAAGATCAGCAAACTGAAAAAAAAATGTATTTGACTGCATTGAAAATAGGAAATATAGAACCCAATAATAACCTAGTATTAATAAAAGTCTAATTGTCAAATAAGACATAAATAAGGGGCTGGGGTTATGGCTCAGCGGTAGAGTGCTTGCCTAGCAAGTGCAAGGCCCTGGGTTCGAACCTCAGCACCCCATAAAAATAAGTAAATAAATAAAACAAAGTTAGAAAGAAAAAGACATAAATTATTATACATATATTTTGAGAGGGAAATTTTTTTCAAGATTTTAATGCTGTTATGTTTTTATAAGTTGAAGAGACAGTAGATAACATTAAGTAGTTAGATAATACAGGCATACTGATAGCAAAAATACACATAATGATGGGAAATTGAGAAGCAGATAATCATAGACTACCAATTAACCTATGAAATCATTATTAAGTAACACTTGAGTAGAACTTAAACTGTAGAAAATGTACTGGATAATCAAAATTAAATAGTGTCTTTTTCATGAGGTAAAAACATTATATTTCTGCAGTTGAATTATGTTATACAGTAGTTCTCCTAATTAACCATGGTTCCTGGAAGCAAATTCTAAGTTCAATTACATTTTATGTTATTTTTGGTACCCAAACTATTGCCATCAAGAACAAGTGACATAAGATCATGATTCTTAATTGAATGAATAAATGAATGAATGAAGTCAAGTAGCAAGCAGTATTTTCAGCCACTTATAATTCTATAAATCATGAGATTATCATAAAATTTATATGACACTCTACTCTCTAGTTAACATTACCTTGTAAATATATTTTGAAAATATACATGAT